GAAGAAACCAAAGTATCTGTGCAGCTCTTCGACGCTCCAACCATGAACTTCACCGTGCCGGGCGACATCCCCTGGACCGACCCGAAGTTCTCTGAGGTGGTGGCTCAGGAGGCTCTGGACCGCTACAAGGAAACCAGCGTGTGAGTGTTGGACAGGACTGCAGCAGCTACGTTTAAAGAGACAGTTCAGCATTTTAGGAAATCATTTAATTAACTTTCTTGTGTGGCGAAGCTTGATATCACATACGCAGCTACTGCCAGAAGTGAGTTTGGTTAGCTAAGACTAAAGACTAAAGGCAGGAAAACTGTGAAAGTCATCAGTTATTAACATATCTTGTTTGTGTAATGCAAAAATCGGGAGTTGGGAGTGTATTCATTCTCTACTAAGTCCAGCAAAGCCAATAACAGACCAGCACAGAACCCAAATTAAAACCATAGTTTGAGTTTTATACTTTGATTTTCATACAGATTTTACACATTTGCTTACTAATCAACTTGTTGATGAATCAACACAAGTCACTGCAAATTTGTTGAAGAGGCACAGCTAGGAAGATATTTTTATCTTTGTGCTGAGTCAGATTAGACGTTTTCCCATGTTTGTCCAATCGCTAATGCTAAGCTAAGCTAACCATCAGACAGTTTTATAAGGTTGGCCAGGCTTCTGTGTTACACTGGAGTAGCACAGAAACTGATATGTCATTGAGTTGTTGTTTTTTTGTCTTCACTGACTGATATACTAAAACATTTTTATGTATCCCTTATTTAATTTAAATTTATAAAATCTGGAATATTTGTTCCAAATCATGTTCTTTTTTTTAATTGTAAATACTTTAAATCACATTCGGGTGGTGGGAGTGTGTGTTACCCTCTATTATTCACTATTGCTAATATGGGATGAGCAGACTTTAGACTTTATTCCACACTTGTACACAAGGTGTGGCTATTAAACAACGAGACTGATGCTGCAATTCAGTTTTACTTGATTCGAACAGATTGAAACTTTGATGTGGATGTAGTACATGCTGTGGTTCAGCTGATGGGAGCCCAGTCTCGTTATTCCATATAACAGCCACACCAGCAGCTGGATTACACAAGAGAAGAATTTATATCGTCTTATTTTATTGTCAATCAGACAAGAAGCATCTCCTATAAATCTCTCATCATCCTCTGTTTCTTTTTCCCCAGTGTGGTGAAATAAACTTCAGTCCAGCCAGATTTACTGCCGAACCTGCAGTGTCTGCTGACAAGTGAATGCTCTGGATTCATCGAAACACACCTGAGATCCAGACAACAAACACTCCTGAAGCTAACCCACTGATTCCACTGTTTCTCTTTAAGTCCTGCTTTTGCAAACAACACAGTTTAACCTCAGAGGTTTATATTGTCACATTAGTCCTGCTGTAAGAGAAGATATTTACTAGATTACCGGCCTGACACATGTCTGTAGTGCCGCCAACCTAAGGCTTTATGTTGGAGGTGTGCCATAAGTGAGCTGGGCTTTGTAGACAGGAGCCATAGTGCAAACACTTTTTTGTGCTTGTTTTACTTGTGTGAATTTTGGATATTATTCTTTGCATTCAGCTGTTGTAACTCATGAGATATATTCTCCACCACAGTTAAATAAGATCAAGTTTTAATTTGATGCAAAGATTTGTAGGCAACTAAAGTTTATTCAGTATGTTGCAGTGATTTTATTAATCTGATCTTCCCTTCTACAGAGCTCTGATACTTACTATCAGAGTTGGTTAAAGTGGTGGATTTAGCAGAGTAAAAATCATTGATCTGAAGGATTAGAGTTGTAAAATGAAAAAAAAGGAATTGATGATGTTCAGGATGCTTTGAGCTGCTCTGTAAAACAGCCTAGCAATAAAGCAATATATAGAGATTTAAATAAAACTGCTCAAATCTGTTCTGTCTCTTCGTCATCTGTTTTTCACAGTTGGTGCTTCTCTTGGACCATTTGACAGTTTGTTGTCTTTAAATCAAACAATGTCTCCTCTCTTACATACAAAGCAATGCAGAGTAAAACGTTTTGCCCCAAGAGCTTCAAACCTAGAATGTAAGAAGACTTTCCTCAGTTCCTCAGAAGTGGTTTCATCTGCCAAATTATTTAACAGAAAGTCTGGAGTGATACATTCCTTTTTTTTTCTTTTTTTTTTTTTACAAAGAATGGCTAAAAAAAAAAGTTGTTGAACTATACCAGGTATGCACCAGGACATTACATGATGTGCATTACTTTTACATTGCTTTGCTATGTGAGAAGCTCCATAACTTCCAGGTGGATCCTTCCACAACCACCTGGATTTATGACTACCTAACAAACAGACCACAGTTTGTGCGACTGAAAGGTTGTGTGTCGGAGATGGTAGTCAGCAGCACTGGAGTACCACAAGGAACTGTACTCTCACCATTCCTCTTCACACTGTACACCTCAGACTTCCAGTACAGCTCTGAGTCCTGTCATCTGCAGAAGTACTCTGATGACTCTGCAGCTGTGGGGTGTATCAGTGATGGACAAGAAGCTGAGTACAGGGAACT